CCCAAAACCCCAAAACCCCAAAACCCCAAAACCCCATGTTTAAAATATTTAGTTGTAATGGATAAGTATGAATTAAAGTTATTAGATAAAGCAAATTCAATATTGAATACTCAAAGTGCAACATTTCGTTATTCATTTTTGGAATTTTATATTACGATTATAAAGATTATATTCTGTTGATGTAATATTCAGAATTTCTTGATACTAATTATTAATCTTGGATTCTACCCGTATTATTCTAATATTTTAATTTTTACTTTAACTCTTCCCAAATTTTAATAATTCAATGATGGAAAATAGGAGCGTGATGTATCTCTGTAGATTTCTTAAAAAATTCTTTTGAGTCTAAAACTCTCCAAATAATTACTTCTCAATTTTTAAAATGCGTTTAAAAATAGCAAGTCTTTCAAAGTATTTATAATTACTTAGCGCTTTAGTAATGATTTGATTCATGCTGCTTTTTATGATTAAATGTATCCAAATTAGGATCTTCTTTTCTTACCTCAGAAGCATAATAATAATGCAACTTTTGGAAATTTCAAGAATACTATTAATCATGTTAATCTTATGATAACAAATATTCAAAAGCATAGAAGTAATAGTAAGATTCATAAATTAAGAATGAGTCAATGGAACTCAATAAGCTTTCCTGAAAATGACTCTCTCCATTTGGGAGGCATGGATGAAGGTTCGCGATGGAGTATGCTCCAAATACTAAAAACAGTAAAAACAATAAATGAGAATAGAGCAAGTAATGATCTCGTAAATTTCCATCTGAGCCAAAAGAAATCAGAGTGCTCATAATTTCTCTGAGCAATATACTCAGAATATGTTGGTTTTACGTAAATATTCTTCTCCTTTTGAGGTTTACTTGATTTTGTAGAAAACTTATTTTGCATTACCATACTTATTCAAAAGAATGCAGACACACAAGAGAGGAGAAAGTACCATTTATACTCCTCAATAAAATCATATAAGTTTTTGGAAGCATCACAGTAGTAAATAGCTCAAAAAGCAATACCCAAGTTGAAGAAAGCTGGTATGAGGAAACAATTTTGAACGAATCATCTTCAAATATATGGAAGGTTAAACAAGAGTCTCTTTTCATACAGCCAAGCTTGAATCAAGAGTTCCATTTCTGAATATATTATTTTTATTATTCTGTTTATTCAATTGCTAGTTAAGTTTGCGGGGTTTTGGGGTTTTGGGGTTTTGGGGTTTTGGGGTTTTGGGGTTTTGGGG